TTTTTTACAAGCAGCATTAGATAAAGAAATCAAATTTCTTGATGGTCAGGGTGGTGAATGTAAAGAACTATGGTGTCCTATCCAAAGAGAATTGGCTGAATTGTTTTGCAATCATTTCTCTGACAGACATGATGATATATTTGTTTTATGTCCATCTGAATTAACTGCCAGTAAAATTCTACTTGATCGTGATATCGACAATAACGTTTTTATCTCCGGCTTCCTTGCTTGGGATTGTACTGGTTCATTACCGATAGAATGTCTTTTCCAAAATCCTACATGGATCAGGAATAACAGCGTTGATAGTTTGAAATTTTCAGATGAAAAAAAAAGTGAAAATCTTCAATTACAATATTTCTTTTGTCGTGAATTATACTCACGTGATCCAGACATTGAATTTATTTGTGGAGATGAAGTGAGAGCTCGATTTTTCTCAATTATTCTCCGACATTTCTTACATCCTTGGTCTATTTCCGAATTTATACAAGAATTACGCGAAACGATTGAAGAAGAAATGGAAAGTGAATGGACAAAATATGATGAGGAGGAAGGTTATATTAGATATGATGTGTCAAAGTACAATTTAAATGAAATTGAATGCGAAAGAATATCAAATTTTAAGATTTTTGGTGAGAATGAAAGGGAATACGAGAATAATCAAGACGATGGGTAAAGGGTTTATAATTTTCAAATATGTTGGGTTGCGTCTTAACTACGGTTAATTTTAGTAAATTTTGGTATACTGTATTAAGAATAATTACATCTCGAAAATAAAATCGATTCTTAATATATCACGTTCGGATCTATTGTCGCCCGGATATAGCGTATGTGCACAGAAAAATAAATTTTTTTGATAAGCTTAAATAGTCTTATATAAAATTTTCATTTACTTTATTTAATAGGAATCTTCGTTAATATTTAGCTAAAATACAGTATTATACAGTACTGTAATATACTGTATTTAAACAATTAATTAGTAATTCGTGAGAGATATGAAAAATCACTATAGCAATAATACTAATGTGCATAAGGGAATATTAAAACAATTATATCTATAATCTAAATTAAAAATTTTTTAATTTTTATCAAGTTAATATTTTTTTGTTTCTAATAAAAATTAT